CTACTAGAAAGTCAAATATTAGGTATTGCCCTTATATAAATATATACATTACTTACTCCTAAGTTCTCAATCTTCATTACGAATTCTCTCAATTCTCCTTTTTTTTTCCACAAACAAAAACTCAAATCTTTACTATTTTATTTTTGTGTAACCCTCGAAGCCTTCTTGATTCTCAAAATCTTACCAAAAAATAGTATGAAGAGAGATCGATCTGATTACGAAGAATCCATCAAGAGTCTAGACATTGCTAAATGTTTGATGATACTATCACAAACCTCAATGGTCAAACATATCGGTGTGAGCCAATTTACTGAGAGCAATACGAGTAACCGGTTCGAATGCAAAACGTGTAACCGGAAATTTTCTTCGTTTCAAGCTCTTGGTGGCCACCGAGCAAGCCATAAGAAGCCAAAGCTCACCGTTGAGCAGAAAGATGTGAAACATCTTAGCAACAACTACAAAGGAAATCATACGCACGAGTGTTCGATATGCGGTCAGAGTTTTGGGACCGGTCAGGCTTTAGGTGGTCACATGAGACGACATAGGTCAAGCATGATGGTCGAGCCATCGAAGCTTATCTCTACGGTGGTTCCTATCATGCCGGTTTTGAAACGATGCAGTAGTAGCAAGAGGGTTTTGTCTTTGGATTTGAATCTAACTCCGTTAGAGAATGATCTTGAATATATTTTTGGGAAGACTTTTTTCCCTAACATAGATATGAAGTTCGTTGTTTAGTTTTTTTTTTCTCAATCATTTAGATTATTGAAATTCTTTTGTATTGTAATTCCCATTCTTTTAAATTTTTTTTTTCAAACGTTATGTTTATTCTTGTTTATCATGAATGTATCAGAAAAAAGTGAGGTATTTTTCGATTGCCGCAACGCGTAACAAACATGTTCATTACTGGGCCAAAATTTAGGCCCAAGTGTGCCCGATTATATATAGGAAATGTGAAGCATTTCATATCCTGTGAAGATTATTCGTTGTTCTGCTGCAAGTTCATAAGGTGTATCTAAAAGTAAAACCTTCGTTTTTCCCTTTTTTCTTTTGCATCAATTCCATTTTATTTCAATATTTACATGTATTCGAGGGATTGAATTAGCACGATTTGATTTGGTAAATTATGAACGTATACAAATTAAACCATCATAGCCTAGGTCAACGTTTCCAACTCCATCCAAAGGATGTTAAATCTGGAGTCCAATCCTTGAAAACAATACATGTTCGATATTTGGTAGGAAAACAATCTAGTTTTTGTCATAACAAGTGGTTTTTAAAAAATTTATGTTATTTTACCGTTAAATCACGAATAGTGATCTTTTTAACAAATCAAAAATATTGTGATTCATTAAACGAAAACCGTTTAGAACACTCTGTAGATGGATGATTAATTTTTTTATTTAATTTTTAATTAAAGGGTTTTTCTGGTAGTGATTTTTAGTTGAAAGATTTTTCAACAAAGTTCCTATCTTGTATCACATTATAGTAATTTTACAAAATTTGTATACGCGTTCAAGAAATAAATTCGATCTAAGACCACAACATGTTGTTTAGTACTTAGTAGTTTGTGTTGTACTATCGTTACATCACCATCTATGTTCAATTTCAAACATGTATATTACCGTATGTTGTTAGCACACAAATATGTTTTTAACAATTGGTATTGCATCCATCCGTCTTGATCACATCCAAAATGGATAGTCCGATAGCGGACTAATGGATACTTATAAAATAATCTCCTACTTGCGGATTATTTGAATGGCTCTGTTACAGAGATTTAAAATTGAATCCATGTCTTTTATTATAGAAACTGATAAAAATTG